ATAAATTTTTTACAGTCAAAATAATTCATTCGCTCTTTCCTTCACTTATCAAACCTTCATTCTCTCTCGTCCATAATACGATTCATTTGGTTCGAATTCAACCATTCCATTTACCTTTGTCTTATAACTGATCACTGATATACATATCTTAAACCCTTCCTTGGTCTTTTAATATTCTCTAATTAGCATCAATCTCTTCCACTTTATCTTTCCCATGTTGTAAAGAAATTATTCTACTTCAGAATGATAAAGTTCCTTTAATATAATAGTTTCCAATCCATCTGAACTGATTGGCTTTATTCTCTAGTGGAGAATACAACTAATTCATATCTGGTTTAAAGTTGAAAATCATATTCTATATTTTTCTTTGATGATGCTTAACTTTATTAAGCACTAATTTTCTTAATCCTCTAAGATTTTTTTTCCAATCCTCTTATTCTGAGCTCTCTCAAGAACTTTAACGCGATTAACCATTTCTTAAAATGAAAACAAATTTAAAACCAGTAACACTCTTTTAATCTAAGGCACAACAAGCCCTAGACAACCAATCACAAGTATCCTTCTTATCTTTTTTAATCAAAATCAACCCATCAATAAATATGCTTAACTTATTAAACTTATACTCATACACATGCATGTGTAATTCTCTTGCTTCAAGTTCATATATTTGAACTTCGTTTATCTTATGAACTGATTATCCATGTACTTATTCTTGAACTCTTCTACAACAATAACCACGTTACTTAATCTTTTAACATTCTTATGGTGACATTTGTCCACCATACTTCTAGATTACCTATGTAGTAACAAAACTACTCAATTTAACTTCTCCACTTTGGAGAAATGAAAACCTTATAACACTATTTTCATATAATTTAATCAAATCTCTATAACAATAGAACATTTCTCAAATTCACCCTTGAACTCGGGTATTCTCAACTCTCTTCGATACATTCATTCTATGAATTATAGCAGTATAAAATTGAAATCATACTAAAATATCATTCCACATCATATAATATTCTCTAATCTTATACAGGCACTCCCTGAGGTTTTCGCTATTCTCCCTGCCTGGCCAGGACAGGTGCATGCTATTACCTTCAGTCTATTACCTTGTGTTTCTCTTTGGAAACTTTCATATATTAATGTGCTCATATCATTTCTTCTATCACATATCTCGTGTACATATGATCATCTAATTCATATCATATAACATGTCATTTGCATATGTTCACATATCATCTATCATATCATATAAACATATATATCTAATAAATCATTCTCAGGTATTCACTTATCTTATATAACATAAAAAAATTAACTCTATTAACAAGACAGCACACTCCTTACCCTATCATATCAGAAAATTTTTCACTTTATGTTGGCATGTATACTTTTTTTAAACACTTTTTACTTCATTTTTAGCCTAGAATCGGCTAAACCTGGCTCTGATACCATTAAATGTAACACCCCCAACCCGTACCCGACCCGGATACGAATTTGAGGTGCCACACTGACATATCAAATCATTTACTTGCATAAAATAGTGAGTAATTTAAAAACTTTTATAACATATAATTGATCAATTTACATAAAATACATTTTCATTATTGCAAAACCGATCAGAGCGTGCATAATTCACTTATTCATTTACATATAACTTATTCAAAGCGTTTACAAAATTATTCCGAGATTATACAACATATTCTTTTGAATACATGCCAACATGAACTTATATATATACTAACATACATATTGTTCATTTATTTTTTTTATCTGACATTCAGTAAGGAGAACTGACTTGTCTTGCACCCCTACTATCCATAAGCTTGTAAGAACCTACGTGTGAAACACTCACACGCTAAGTCTATGACTTAGTGAGGCAATAAACATATAATGTAAACATTATCTAATAATCATACATAAGCAATTACTACTATCATTCCATACAATTCATATACTTTTACATGTAACAAATACATATATACACACACATATATATCATTATCATTCATATCTCTTATCACTATCATTGATTCCTTTTATCGTATGATCTTATAATTACCCTTGTAAAATCATATATCACACATAACATTTCATAAGGAAACAAGTATATCATCATATCAAGTTTTTAATATTATCTCTTTATTAGCCCATGGTATACATGTGAGAACTGTAGATACGTTAGTCTATTGAGGTTGTGCACCACTATGCTGTCACCACAGCTCGTATAAATGTCCCGAAGGACCTATCCAGAGGTCATAAAGATCCTCGGTAACTATCCAGAGGTCATAAAGATCCTCGGTAACTGTCCATAGGTCCCGAAGAACCTAGGTAAACTGTCCATATATTCCTTAGAACATAGGTAAACCCTCGACTCTTGGCATGTCAACTATACCCCTAGCTCTCATATAACATAACATGGGCATTATTATTTATGTTATCACACTTTTACATATTCACATGTACATGTCACTTTCATATTATTCATATTCATATGTCATTTAACTTGTAACACTTCTCATGTTCATATAACATGAATATCACTAGTATCTCTTGTTATCATATGCTTCACATAAATAATATATATCACATTCATCTTTCCATTTATTTACATAAGCCACATAACATTTACAAGAGCATATCCACACATATAATCAAACATACATGCATTTTCATGTCATTCATTTCACTCTCTATATCTTTATCACATAGCTTATTTGATCTCTCATGTTCTTATGTAAGCACATATATATATCACACAACACATAGAACATATTAAACATATCACATACAATAACATTTTAAGAGTTACTTCTTACCATAGTAACTTCGTCAGTGGCTCATCGCAAGCCAATATTTGTTCTATAAGTACAATTTAAATTGCACTCACCTTAGCCTTGTTTGTTTTGAATCAATCCTAATCCTTTGATTGTTCCGGAACAATATTACGCTCTAAATCTACATAGCAATACATTGATACATATCAGTATACTAATTACATTAGATATATCTTAAACTATCACTTCTTAGGCTAAGAGAACAGAGAGCCACGACGAAGATACAGAGAGAGAGAGGAAGACACAAACAGAAGCAAACAACAGCAACGAAAACAAAACCTACAACAGTAAACCGAAAGGAAAAGAGAAGAGAAAGACTTACCTTGAAGCCTTTTCTACCATCGGAAGCCCAAACGTTACTAAAACCACCCTATAACCGAAGGTAAAGCCATCGGTTTCCTTTAGATCTAGATAAACCATCGGAAGAAAAATTCTGGGGTAATTTGGAAGCTCCAGCCACCGCGAGCGGTAGCCGACGTTGGTGGTGGGTGGCGGAGTAAAGCGACCGGTCGGTGTATGGTCTCCCTCCGGCGAAGGAAACCTTGAGAAAAGGCAGAGGATTTTTTTCTTCTCTCTCAATTAGAGAGGGAATGAGAAGAAGAGAAATGAGAAGATTGGCCCGAAGGGTCGGCCCTTTGGGGATCATATACCCCTCCCAAATGGTGTCGTTTTGGGTAAGGGGTATATGCGTAATTTACACCTAAGAGCAAACTCTTTCCGTGATACCTGTAACTTTGTAAACTTATAATTTGGTCACTGAAATCAATCACTGAAAGCTTTAATTCGGCCGTTTACTTTTATTTCTTTATAATTTAGTCATTGCCATGTTTATATAATATTTAAGGTAAATAACTTACTTAGTCCCTTAAATTTTAATAATATTTATTTTTAATCCTGATTAATAATTATGGGTTAATAACACTATGAGTAATTATATTTTCATAATGATTCGAATTATGTACACTATTTTAGATATTTTATATTTCATTTTGGTTATTTTTATTTTTATTTATTTTAGTCCCTAATAATTTTAATATTTTTATTTTAATCACCTATTAATAATTAAGGGATAATTACAGTATTAGTAATTATATTTCGAATTATGTTCACCAATTTTTATATTTTACATTTTAATCTTGTTATTAATTTTATTTAAGTACTATTTATTTGCATTTTTATTTTTATTATTTTCCTTTATTTCTCAATATATTTAAATTATTAATTCCATTATTATTTTATTATTATCTTAGTCATACATATATACATTTGTTTAAATAATAATATTTATTTATTTTAATATATATATATATATTTTTTTATTTTTTTTTATTTAAATTATTTTAGGAAAAATCATCACATTTTCAATATTTAATATTTATTTATTTTTCAATATTAAGAAAGAGCAGTCTTAAAGCAACTAGATGTCCATTTTCTGATATTTTTAAATATATAAATATCTTATTTATATATATATATATATATATATATTTAATTATTTTAGATAAATATTTTATTAATATTTATTTTTCAATATTAAGAAAGTGCATTCTTAAAGCAACTAGATGTCCATTTTCTGATATTTTTAAATAAATAAATATCTTATATATATATATATATTAAAAAAACATATTTTAAATTAAATATATTTTAATTATTTTTAGATAAATATTTTATTAATATTTATTTATTTTTTAATATAAAGAAAAGAGTTGTCTTAAAGCATTTAGAAGCACTTTTCTGATATTTCTGAATAAATAAACATCTTATATATATATATATATAAATTAATAGATTTTCTTAAAATTATAATAATAAATTTGAAATAACAGAATTATAAATTAAATATATCTTTGAATATTTAAAATAATAGAGACAATTTATAATTAATGAGTATTAATTTTGGGCGTTATAGGGGTGTTAATCCTTCCCTAAATGTAATCGATCACGAATCCCTTATTTACTAAATTTTTTTTTGTTATACGCAGATCAGTTTATCTTTTAAATCATGTTTTCTTAAAAACTATTTTAAAAGATTATTTTTAGATATTTGACCTACTTAACCCAAAAAGGTCAATGGTGACTCCCAAAATATTTTCAAAATCATTTATTTATTCATTTATTTTTCCCGTCAAGTAAAAAAATTTCGTGCCCGTGCAAAAACCGGTTACGACACCTTAATGACCTTGCGATATCCATTTGGTCTTCCATAAGCTTTTGTTACTATTTCTACCAAAGCTACATCAGATATAGATGCCAATGTTTCTCCCCTAAAACCAAAGCCGCTGCTACCAGCATCCAAATCATTCAGATGGGAAAGCTTTGACGTTACTGGCAATGCACAAAGAGAAATGAAACAATCACTGTGAATTAGTGAGAAAACAAGTTGAGAGCATTAGAGAAAATACATGAAATAAAAGGAAGCATGAACAAATATACTACGAAGCTAACCATATCTTTCTCCCAGTAACACCAATTCATCCCGAGATATACCAGATCCTGAAAGAATATAAGCAACAGAAAAATCAAGCATGAAACCCGGATGGAAGTGACAATTAGTTGAATGATTCAGCAACGAAAGGCATGATAGTGTTTACCATCATCGACCACTTTGACATAGCCGCTCCCAACACTTAGAAAGACTGACACCTAAATGACAAAGAAACAACTACTCTTTCAACACAAAGTTCTTATCATAGATTATTTATGAGTTAGTTGTTGAAATTTAATACCTTTGATGCATCATCATCGAGGCTATTGAAAATGAGCTCCTCCACAACCCTAGTGAGGTCAAACAATATACTGGCAGAACGCACTATAGCGCGAACAGCCTCTGGCAAGGGCTTAATGCTCCCCATTACAAGCGTGATCTAGCTTATATGAAAATTTACACAAATATTCGCATCAAACCCAATCCGCTTTAAATTCACAAAAACAAGGAGTGCCTAAACAAGGAATTGGCAACAAATTTGGGTTGGGAAAGCCTTTCATAAAGGAAAATGATAAGCAGTTCTATTGCGGAGAAAACAAAATCTCATAAGCTACATTCAATAAGTTGATTTCAATATCATCTCACCTGAGCTAAGGCTAAGTTGAGAATAAGGTTTAGGGTTTATTGCATTGGTTTCGCATTTCAGTTTCTTTCCCCTGTTCTTCCCGCAATTGACTTTTCAGTTTGGAACTGTCGTGGGCCGGGGTACACCATTAGTTAAATAAGTAAGGTCTAATTTTGCTTCCAGTCCACATACTCTTTACGTATTTAAAATTTAGTCTATTTTCATGAATTTAATCTATCTATTGTTTGATTTAATACTAGAAGTCTAACTAATAATATCATCAAATATTTTTTGTTAAATTGAATTATATAATTTTTTTTTTAAATGATTACTTGGAAAATTTAAATCTGCATAAAAGTATTATAAGAAAATCATTAACTTTTATTTTACTTATTTAAAACAATGTTGAAAAATCTTATAATATCATATTAAGAATAAAAAAATTATCTTATATAAAAAAAATTTATTATTCGATCTTTCAAGTATGTAATACATATTAGATAATTTTATATTAAAAATATCCCATAACCTAATTTAATGAAAATATTTTATCAGTATTATCGATTGAAATTCAATATTACTGTAAAAAGATTAAATATGGCTAAAACATTACAGAGATTAAAAGTAAAAAGATTAAATTTTAAATGTATAAAGAGTACAAGGACTAAAAACAGAGTTAGACCATAAAATATCACTGTTATTTAATTTAGGTTTAACTATTTTGTTTGGTGCCTCAACTATCACTTTTGTTCTGTTTTACTCACCCAATTTTTTTTTATTTCAAAATTATATGTAACATCACATTTTGTTTTTATTTTGATCACTCGTCATTCAAAGTTAACGGTGATACTGGCATGTTAGCATAAGATATGTCATGTTATCATTGAAATTTTTTTAAAAAGTCATGTCAACTGTTATATTAATTTTTTAACGAAGAGTGACTAAAATAAAACTACGGGGTTGTTTGTTTGTCTCTTAATGGAATCATTCAGCGCTGAATGTTGAACCGTTCAGCATTCAACGCGTTTGTTTCACACCTCTGAATGATACAGTGCTGACTAATTCAGCAAAACAATGCTAAATGATTCAACACGGAAGTACATTCTGAATGATTCAGAGTCATTATCAAACAACATGTCACATTCAGAGCTAATTCATACAGAGCCTCTGAATCATTCAGCACTTAATCATTCTGAAGTAAACAAACAGCCCCCTAAAACTAAAACATAACACTAGTTATGATTTAAAAAAAAAACAATAAATGAGTGATAAAAAAATAAAAGTAATAGTTGAAATACTAAATATGTAGTTTTCTTCTAATTTGAATTAGTTTTTCTATTAACATAATACTTAGTAAGACGACACGAGATCTTCGGTTTTCCTTTTCCTTTTTCCTTTTTCCTTATTTCCTACACTGGACCCCCTCTCTCGCTCTCGCTCTCATCTCCAAAACAAACACAAGTGTATACCCTATATTATTATAATTTAATATAAATAAAAATATCAACCAACAAAAAAAAAACCCTAATTTTCCTTCTTCTCAAGTCTCTTAAATCATCTCTCATTTTGCAATCCAATCCAAACAAACTCTTTCTCTGTGACACCAACCAAGCTGCAAACCCCCGCATAATGATCAGGTATTGAATCAAAATTCCATCTTCTTTTTTTTCTTTTGTAATTCACTCTGTCTTTATTTGCATCTCACCATTCCATTCAATCAAAGCTTCTGCTTTGCATTTTTCGCTTGACCTTCATGTAATTCTCTCTTATCCTTTTATCGATCGCCCTGTTTTTTTTAACGTTTTAGTTTTGTTGCTCTCATCCGTACCATCTGTTTCCCGATATAATCTTTAAACTTGGCAATTCCTTTTTTCATTGCATGATCATCTTTTTGTTGACTTCGTATCTTATTATTCTTTTTATTTAAACCGGAAGGTCTTATATAACCGAATTTGCCGGTAGGGTTTTCAAACTCTCGTTCTTTGTGTCATTTACGGCACGTGAAACATCTTTCAATTCCGATTTATGTACTAGAGCCGCTTGAATTTATGCTATTTTCCAAATCTGTACGTTTTTCTTTCTAAGTTTGATGGATATTTACTATTACTATGACTGCGCTGAGAATTCAGATATTGTTCTGGGTTTTGTTTACTATTTAATATCTGAAATCTATGATTATTGATGTTTTCGCGTGGATGTGATCAAAAGGTTCAGATTATCTATATAGACAATTACTTCTTCTTTGATGTTTCAGATTTTGATAAATTGGAGAAGGGATGTTGATGGAGGCTAACAGTTGTGACATCAATCACTTGGATGCCGATGTCCTCCTGCCTCCTCGGAAACGGCTTCTGGCGGGATTTAAGAAACAGGCTTCTAATGCCAGTGGTGCTTCAGATCAGCTTACGGTTGCTTCTTCCTCTTCATCTCCTCCACCTCCACCTCCACCTTCACCTTCACCTTCACCTTCACCTTCTACTTTGTCAAGCGATGTTAATGCCCATCTTAAGAATCTATTGATGAGTTCTCATTTGTACAACCCAAATCTTTCTCCTGAGGAGATTTTGGAGGCCTCAAGAGCAGCCGCTACCTCTGCTGCTAAAGCTGCAGTGGTTGCCAGAGCTGCTGCAGAGGAGAAGGCTGCAATTGCCACTAAAGCTGTTGCTGCAGCTAAGATTGCATTGGACATGGTAGCAAAATTTTCTGAAGACAGAGGCAGACGCCTAAAAAAGAATAAGCTCAAGAAACATGTCCCTGTTCAACTCTGTACAAAAAACACGAGCCGATTGAGAGTCCTAGAACAGATGAAGAGTTAGCCCGGAAATTGCACCAAGCCATCAACAGTTCCCTAAGAATCTCAAAGAATTCACCTTCTGAATGGAGAGGTCATAAACATAAGAGACCTAAGATAATGCCAACTCTTGAGAAAACAAAAGCTTCCAATGGAGGTATAGTATTGGGTGGTAGCCCGTCTTCTACATACAATGGAGGTACTATAGCAGGCGAAATTGATTCTGAGGACTCCATGGAGGAATCTGTTAAAGCAGAGGCAAAGGATGCTAAATATGAAAAATCTGGGCAATCAGAGTTGGATAATGGCGAAGCAAAATCAAGCCATTCGAAGGAAAAGGCTTTTGAGGAAGTAACCCCAGGTAAAAGGAGGGGAAGAATGAAGCTAAAGAGACTGCCCCTGAGCATTTGTTCCTTTAGGGATCGAGTGAATCCAAAGGAAGACATTATTAGTAAGGGCTCTCCATTGACCGAAAAGAACATGGATAATTCAACTGCTGCTGTTAAGACCTATTTTACCTTGGAACCCTCCAATGATGGTGTTATTTCAATTGAAGGTTCATCAATGCGGAAATGCCAGGATTTCAAGGTCCCTGCATGTATCAAACAAAGCAAAGTCATGCAATCATAATGTCCAAATCCTGTTCTTGTAACAGATGGCTTCAATGATTGAAGTTAATAGCTGAGGTAGGATTCGTAATTCTCTTTTATAGGTTATTAGGTACGACTTTACCCATTTATCTCTTTACTCATTACTGCTTTTGTAAGGAAGTTGAATTGACAGAGTGTATATCTGAATGTTCAGTTGCTTGCCTCTACACTTTACTAATAGTGATTGCTGCATAGAATGATAGCAATATTTGGATTTGAGATGAAGAGGAATGCAATAAGTTTAGATAGCTCCTTTCTTTCTTTCTTTCATTTTTGCTTATTCATCCTGCTTTCTTTGGATGATGCTACATGTACTAAAACTTTAATACCCTTGGTATTGTTATTTCAGCATTTGATTCATTTTTTTCCCCTTCTCCCCTATCTATTTTCCTTTCATGGTTGTATGAAATTCCTTTTGTTGTTTATAAGATGCATCATTGATGGATACAGAAACACGTTGAAGTTGATGTTGCTGAAACATATATGCACATTGACCTAGCAAGCGATCATCTAATAATGGCCCCTCTTTAAAGGACAGTGATTGATTTCATCGTTCGTCAACAAAGGATTTGCATTTTTTTCTCAATGTCGTGGTTTAAACTTTTTGATGAATTGAGAAAACTTTGTCTGTAGTTCATCTAGGACCCGCTGAAAGTTGCTGGGGTGTGGTAATGCGGGGTGCATATTTTTTAATGCTGGAGGTTATACCAAAAATGGAGAAGGATATTTGGATAAGTGTGTTGTGTATACTGACATATTGAGAAAGAGAGAGAGGAAGGAGGCTGACAGTTATGCGTATTGGTTTGTGTCGATAGTAAAATGTGAGCAGTGGTGGATGAACTCGGTAGTTTGTATTGATGATCTTTCCATTTAGGAGTTAGGACCTTGTTTGTTATCAAGCTTAAGTTTAATTTTAAATGCCATGTAAAGTTGAAACCAGCATTCTTATAGGTTGCTCTTTAAAACTTGAGGCTTGTTTCATAAAACAGATTTTGGAAAATAAATTATATTTAAAAAAAAATCATTTTCTGGTATTCGAATGATGGTATGTAAATCAACAACACTGTTTAATAAAAAATTAGGAAAAAGAAATTATGTTAGTATAAATAAGTATTAAATAAATCTTATATAAAGATTGATATACTAAAAAAACTTGGTTCTTCAACTATACCTTCAACATGAAGTTTGAAGGAAAAATACTTATTGTAAAATTAATTTATATTGTTATAAAAAATATTGATATATTATAAAATTTTGACGAATGGCAAGAGGAAAAAAAATTAAAAAGAAAATAAACAAATTAGGAAGACTGGTGACCATAAAAGAGAGAATTCAAGAGTAGAGGATGAAAAAAAAAAACAAAGAAATCAATGAAACTCAAACCTTATACTTTATCTGATAATAAATTTACTTGAACGTCGATGATAGATTCGAAAAGCATCGAAAAGAAAGCAATGACGATAAAATGAAAGGAGATAAGTTATTTTATAAGAAATCATTATATTTTTTTATCTGTAGTTAATAGTTATATTGATTAAATTCATTTATCTGACTAAACATCGAAAAAACTAAATTATTAAAATTTAAATACTTAAAACAAACACAACCTTATAAGCACCACTTTCTTCGACGAGGACAATGAGAAGCACACATCAAAGAGAAAGGATTCATTCGACAGTTTTAACACATACATGTGATTCATAGCAGAGTGGTAATAAAATTTCCTAATAAATTAGCTTAAAGTGACAATTTGAACAAACACATTCAGTCATCGCAGTTAAACACTCGTGTGTGCAACAGTTATTACTTTTGTTAACCAAAAAAAAAAGTCGTACAGGTGGGGGGAGGGATCTTTAATTCCTTCTTCACTTTCCCACCTTAAATCTTAAGTTTGTTCATTCCAGCATCCACCTTAGATTGACCATCTGAGCTCCTCAGATTTAGCCATGGGTGTTGCAGACACTGCTGCGCACTTGGTCGCTTTTCTGGTGAAAATTCAAGAAGTGGGGAAAGAAACTCCATAAATTCACGAGCATCAGTATCGGTAAATTTGTATTTATTCACCAACACTCGATCGAGTGGCAAGTACTTCAGTCTTCGAATCCTCTTCAGATCCCCATGCCTGTCAAAAAAATCCTTTGATCGAGCTCCTCCAACAGCAATCTGTGCTTACACATGCAAAGAATTAACATTTGAATCACATCTTTCTAAATTGGAAAGGACGTTAATATATAAATTATTTTACCTTCCGTGGCATCTTTCCAAGAATTTCCATCATAAGAGCTAGGTGATCCTGGAAGCAACCGAAAATGTTATTCCCAGTGGCCCTTTATCACTCTTCTATCTAAAAGGTCATTATTACTAAAACAACCCATAAACAAACAAATGATTATGACGATGATGAAACAGTAGGCATATATATATATATATATATATATATATAGTATGCTAATCAGAGAAATAACCAAATTTAGAACCAGGACACACTCATAATATATCTCTATGTTTGTATACATATAACAACATAATTGTGATGACCAAGCCTGGGTTATACTCGGAGTAGTTCTTTTTATAGCTCTTTTCTGGTATGACAACCAGAAAATATAACTAGATAATCCTAATCAAGCATCATGTTATTAAAATAGAACACATCTTTTTCATTTTTGTGTTGCTCTATTCTCATTTCCAAACAAAGAACCTGCAAAAATAGGACAAGGAAAGACATTTCCGAAACTGTGATGAATAGAACAGCTGTACCTCGTCTTCACTAAAACCTTCTCCGGTATTAGGAGCAAACATCATGTCACCAGTAGCAAGCTCAAAGGCTATGCAAGCAAATGACCACATATCAACGGAAAAGGAATACCCAGATTGAAGTATGACCTCAGGAGCTCTATACTGCCTTGTTTGAATTTCTTCTGCAAATCGTTTGTCAGCCCAACATGCATTTCCAAAGTCCACAACCTTGCACCTCATATCAATCCCATCAAGACATCTTGCAGGTTTTAGAGCTTCTCCTCCCATTGAACCTCTTCTACTAGATATATTAGCAATTGCCCGTCTTGCCCTCTGTTTCAACTTTTTCTCAATGGTGTTCATGGTAGATCCGCCATTTAGGGTGCCCCCCTCAGGCCTTTCAAGGATTGGAGTAAGACCAGATCTAATTGGATCCTTGGGTGGATCAATTGTGGAAAGGAGAAGAACATTTTCAGGTTTTAGGTCAGTGTGGATTATACCAAGCTCCCTATGCAAGAAATCCAGAGCTATCAGAACACATTTGCAGATCTCCCTAACTTTATTCAATTCAAGCCCTTTGTAACGGTTAAACCTGATTAATTGAAGTAAGCTATCACCAAGGAATTCAAGGACCATGCACAAATGTTGGCCGTTCGGGCCAGTGTGCTTAAAATGATCGATCAGGCGCACCACGCACTTGGAGTTTGAAGGGTCTCCATCAGCAATAGAACGAATGACTTCAATCTCGTGAAGTGCAGCTTGAGCAAACTGTTGTGCGCTCTTCTGAATCTTTAGAGCAACATATTTCTGGATTAAAAGAGAAAATGGTTTAGATTTAATACAATGATACCCTCTTCTTATGCAACAAGTTTTATCCTCAATCATAAGGATCAATTCTAAGAAAATAAATTTTCAAAGAACCAACTTCTTTCATCAAGAGGCAGCATAAAGATTTTCCCAACTTGTACATAAAACACTATTCAGATTCAAGATCAGGTTTCTTTTTTCTTAAGGTCCAATCACCCTGATTATTATTTTATATTTCATTTGACCATATACATATACTAAAGTATCTAAGCGGTGATCGCCATCTCAATAAACGAGAAAGATGAAGTAAAACGGATAATAATGCCGTAGAGGTTCTATAAAGGAAGACTCAGATCATAAAAGCATGAATTCATATCATACGAATTGGTGAAGAAAGGTATAGAAATGAAGGAAAAGAGGGAACGTACAGAGGATTGAGTATCGTAAGCGAGCCAAACGGTGGAGAACTGGCCCCATCCAAGCTTCCTCTGGGCGATATAACGACCGGAGGCGAATGGATCGCCGATCCGCACGGCATGGTACCCTCCTTTCCTGTAAGAGTCGATTCCCTCGTCTTCTTCCTCGGAGCCGGATGATGAAGAACAGGACATATCGGCAGAGTGATCCGATGAGACACACCCTTGATTTTCTCCTGTGTGTTTTGGGGGAAAGAAATTAACGAAAAAACGGAATTTGTGTTTATCGTTTACTGTTGGGGGGTAGTTTTGTTTATATATTTGGCGATGAGTCTTCTTTATTTTCCTTTTTATTTTTTAACTTTTCCTTTGCGCCTCGTTTGTTGTTGGTTACTTTTCTTTTTTTGGGCCGGGGGGGGGGGTGCGCTGATGTGTGTGGCTTTGAATAGAAACAGTGCCAAGCATGCACCAGGTGTCCCGCCTCGTCTTTGGGGTGCCGCCGTCACTGCTGCACCTCCCCCATGTTTCTATCAATTATATTTATATTTTATAAATTTAAATATGAAATAAATCAGATATTATTTTTAAGTTTTAAATTTAAATATTTATATTTTTTATATTTTTTAAGTTTAATAATTTAATTTCTCGATATTTGACCTTGATTTTGCTCGCATATGTATATTTATATATTAGTTTAGCCTCTCCTTCTTGGCTTTGGTGTGTTTGACTAACTACAGCTTATTTTGTTTTGTTAATGGAAGAAAGGAGCGTGGCCATGTTGCCATGCATGCATCTCTAGGTGTACTATCGACTAGTATATAGGATAAAGAGGAGATCTCGGGCTTGGGCTTTGAGTAATTCGTAATTGGTTTTCATCATCAGGGATTTCGTTTCTTCTATCCAAGCCCATGGGAAACAAAAAATAAATAAATTAAAATTTTGAATTAATCAAATTAAGGGTAAATTTGGTTAGATAATATGGCAGAAAAAATTTATGTCGCATAGGATGTTAGAAAAATTATTTTCTTTAGGGTAGATGTTATAGTGCATGTCGGAAGGCGTCCGATTGGTACGACAATTTTAGGAAGATTCACAAATCATTTTGCAACTTGTCAAGACTGTAGCTTTATCAGCTTTCGGGTATGCACATAGCTTAAGAGAAGACATCGTGTTCTTCTGACGTCTTCTGATGTGCACTATAGCACACATTAATTGAAAAAATAATTTTCAAGACGATGTTCGGACGACATGATGATTTTGAAAAGATGCACGGATCATTCGACATATTTAGCAAAATTATATATTTATCAACTTTTAGGCATGCATGCAACTTGGGAGAAGACGTCCAAACGTATTTTCAAAGTCTTCATCGTTCAAATTTCTTTTGATGTATACTGTAACATTCACACTAATTGAAAAATAATTTTCTCAACGCCTAACACGGGGCTTTTTTTCAAAGTTATATTTTGGGCAAAAATTACCCAAGTTATGCATTACAATTTCAAATACTATTTACGGTTAAATTAATATATATTGTAACTTTCAAAAAAATTATTTAATAAATTTGATTTGATTTGAATATTAAAATTTGAGTAAATTCGATAGAAATTTAACACTCGAGTGACTAGAAAAAAAATTGACATTAATTAAGCAAAGTTGATTTTTTGAGCGACTAAAATAAGTATCTTAAAAGATGATAAACTTATTTTTTTCAGTGAATATATTCTTATTTTTTATTATTATTTTTCATCAATTTATTTACATTCATCTAATAATCTAAATATATGTAAAATTAAAAAATACACTGGAGTGATGTTTGTCTTGGATTTGGAGGACGTAGTTTCATCTACCACTTAATGCTTCATCTTCAATTACATGATTAGTTGTTTCTGCTCAACTAATTATGAAAGTAATACCGCTAATGTTTAAACAATAAAACTTAGGTTAAAACTATTATTTAAATTATCAAATTTAATTTATTTTAATACTTAAATTTTCAAAAAAAAAAATTAAAATTATACTTGAAATTTAATTTTTATTTCATTTTCAATATCAAAACTTAAATGTTAAAAAAAATAAAACTTTAGATATCAAAACACGTTTATATTTAAATTATATTTAAATTTTTTAAAAAAATAAAAAATTATATATTAAACTAACAGTTTAAATACTAAACGTATTAAATTTTTAAAATCAAATCTAAATATTAAATATAATTTTAAAAATTAAAAATTTAAATACTAAAAAAAACTAATTATTTAGATAGTAAACGTATAATTTACCCTAAAACTTACTATACAAGTTTATCTGTCAAGGTAAATAAGATAAGACCGGTAGATAAATATGACAGACTTGTGAAAGCTGTGCAAATATATATATGGTGTGTGGTTGATGCTTAATTATAGGAGGATAAATATAGGTTACTATCTTCTGTCATACTATTAGTTGTTGCAGTGTTGTGTAATGTGGCAAACACACATGGTAAAGTTTTATTTCTTTCTCCTCGATCATCGGTATTAACAGTCGCTAATATGTCCCTATCCCACCATACCTCAAGAAGAGAGGGGGAAAAAAGGAAAGAAAGAAATCAGGCTTTGGAGTTGGACGCAAATATCTCGATGAGGGAAGACCAGGTTCCAGAGATTCCCATGATCACACCTACAACCACAATGACCGCATCCAAAAGCACTCCATCCCACCCCAACTCACCCTTGAACACCAAAAAATGAAACAAAGCAGGCAAAACAAACCCCAGAGTACAGCAGACACTACTCCCCACAAGTGACAAGAAATCTGCGAAATTGGGGACCAGCAGAGCCACCAAGCTCACTCCCAGAACTACCGCCCACCTCAGCCACAAGCAGTATCTACCGTCACACAACCGCCTCTCTACTACCTCGTAAACCGGGTTCATCATCAACGGGAACGTAATGAACAGGTTGATACACAGACCCAACTGCACCAGGGTGCTTATTAATCCTGCTCCCAGGTTGGTGGTGATTATATCTTTGGTCTCTTCACCAAAAGCCATGTATCCCAATAGCCCGAATGCACCGTACAACAATGTAATGAATGCCATGCAAAAGGCCAATACTTTCCCGAACTTGTCTTTGTATTTAGCCTCTAATTCCAATGGCAATATCATTCCCACTCCTTCAAAAGAGTAAACAGCCACGCCCAGGCCGTAAAAGAATACGGAGAAACCACCAAAAGCCTTCAACTCCGGCATGTTCTTCAAGAAAACAAATACATCCTCCACCATCACCACCCCGACAGCCGCAAGGTCCACCACATCGGCAAAGATACTCAAAGGGGCCAAATGAGTCAACGTTGCAATCGAATTCAAACCTAACTGGAATGGAAAACAAGCCCACAGATACAAAGTCTTGGGAGTGAGCCCGAGAATACGTGCCTGGTTGTTATCGTCATCGGCATTGAAAACATAAGCTAAAGTGTTGGCAATGAAGATGAGGTAACTAACACAGAAGCCAGCCTGTGCAAGAACTATCATTATATCAACTGCGAAGCGGCCGAGGGGGCCACAAACCTCGAAGCCGAGATCACCGAAAGAGCTTATCTTGGAGAAGCCATGGAGGGACTCCAGTTTGCGGCGAGTGAAAACCAAAAGCATCATACAGTGATAGGCTAGAATAGCGACGGAGAAGAGCATGAGGGAGCCCATGAGCCATCCTGTTTTCTTGAAGGTGTACGGAAGGCCGAGGACGCCTGCTCCGACTATGGCTATGAAGACATTTGCAAAGGTCTTTGACTGAGAAGAGAGGTGGCGTGGCTGGCCCAACAGAGGGGTGTCTTCTCTCGGGAGGGCTGGCACTTTCAGCACATGCGACGACGAGCTCGCTTCTTTATCAAACCCCATATCTGGAATTATCTGGAAAACAATACTACAAATTGATGGGTTTTTTTGAGAGATCTAAACGGGGATTGATACTATCACTTCACAATCTGCATTCTGCAGAGAAAGAACACACATCGTCAAATAAAAAGGTGGGGGAGGGGGAGGATAAGATATTTTCTTCTGGTTTCTTTTGTCGTTTACTTGAATTGAAAAAGTATGCACATGGGATGAAATGAAGAGAGGACTTTGAGATGGGATAAGCCAAGCCACCTATCTAAAATATCTTCAACAGTTAAAGGTTGAAAATTTATAGACAAGTTGAAGTTAAACACGCAAAGGAAAGTGATAAGAACAAGTCAGTCGGCGACCACTGTCAGTTTGCCGCTTAAGCCCAATAATTGGCTTCTACGGATGCCGATGCTGTCATCACCATCCTCTTTGTGGACCATTTGATTGAGACAATATTGTCTTTCTTTGCGGACAGGAATGTTCCACCAAATCAAACTCAACTACCCCATATTTTTCTCCATTCTTTTTCGAATAAGGCTCATATTCATAAGATATTGTGCTTCCTGCTAGTACTTTCCAGTTTGTTCTTCCTGTTAAATTATTTTGTTTTGGTTTTGTGGCGTATACGTAATGTATACTTACAGATAAATTTAAGAACCAGGATCCGGAAAGATGAATTTTAAAATCCACAAGCGCTTATGAAATTCTCCTTATTCGATTTCTCTACAACGGGGGAAGACTAATTGTGAAGTAGTAGCTGTTATTAAAGAAAAATATTTTGGCTAAACTGCAATGTTGGGAAGGACATACTTTTTCACAAGGCAAGAATTTTTTTTTATTAAAATTGTAATGACCAAAAAATTCATATTTTGAACTTGAGATAAATACTGAGATTTTTTAAGAACAATCACTTGATGGTTTTTAGCACTATTATTTTATTCTTTAGTTGCTGCGTCAAGAATGGAAGATAAAGAATTAAGTTCAATTCGTGAAGAGACAGAGACTGACATAAAAGCTGGGGTTTATTAGAAGAAGGAACGACAGGGACTTAATATGTAACTTTACCATTTGCTTATATTTGGGGTTTTAAAGTGGGAAAGATGAGCATTTATCTCATCTTTTCTCCAACTTCATTCTCAAGCTCAAAGGTAAGAGCTTTAAATTCGTTTTTGGATTAGGATTTAAGTTTAAAGTATGATAACCTTCTTTTTTAGACAATTTAAGAAAATTTAGACAATTGATTTTTAGGAATGAATATTTATTCTTGTTGATAAAATATTGTCATTCAAATTTAAAAATAAAAAATATAATGATAAATTAATTTTTAAATATTATACAAATGATTACTTTGATATTTTTTTTAATATTTTAATTCTAACGTTTCTTTTTTTTGTTAAATAACTCATGTTAGATGAAAACGATTAACTAATTAATGGTCAACACATATTACTAATATAATATTTTCACATATTTTAATTGATAATATAGATGTGTCACGTCACTCAAAATAATGACGTAACATGATTATGTTACCAAAATGATCACATATTATATAATTTATCATCATAATATGATATGTGTCATATCATTCAAGATGATGATATGTCATATATCATATCAACTAGAGTTGATGCAAATATCATCTAAAGTAATAACGTAATATGTGTTATATCATCAATTATACACATATAAAAATACTACGTCAGAAATAAATATTAATCATTAGTGAACTAATAATTTTCATTTAATACAATTATTTTAACAAAAAAATAGTGAGAGTTAAATTCTCTTAAAAATATAAAACAAAAATGATCTTTTATATGAACCTTGAATATAAACCACTTGCATATACTCCAGATTTAATAATAATATTTTTACTCTTGACCAGTAAATTTCTTTACAAAATATTAAATTTAAGAATATATATTGATATTTTAAAATACAATATTGATACCTAAGTCTTGTTTTTCACTAAAAACTGACTTCTTAATCCTCATTCTATCATACAATGGTCGTGTTCCTTGAGAACGCAAGAATTCACCACATAATATGATTTACAAATAACTATAATGAAATATAGTACGAATATACGATGTTCCGTCGATCTATGATACGCTAAACTGCATCTTATATATGATTTTTCGTTATATTTATTCGTGAATATAAAAAAATTAAACTCACTTTTATTTATGTTTATTTATTTATCACGATTTATTTGTATCCGTAAAATATATGGCACAACAGTAATAGGAAGCAATTAATCATGACCGATCTCAACCTCAGAATTTATGATATTTACTTTGAAGTAAACATGTTGTCCATGTGTCTAATAGTAAATAAATTGTTACAATCCAAAAACCCCCGAATCCAACATGAGGTTGCCCGGGGAAACTTATTACTAGTTTCGGGCTGCAACTCATACGTTACTGCCTCAAAAATATATTTTTAATAAAAACAAGAAACAAAAGCAAATTGTGTACCAGATATCCAGGGTGGAGGGATCAGTTGTTATTCAGAAAAAAAATGGCTCTCCAATTAGTTTGAACTCCATTGTTTTCTGCCTTCTTTTGTACGAGATACAGGCAATTCTTCACCACTCAAATCATTCGTTGTTCAAAACACCCTTGAGGAGATCCAGCCCTTCTGCTGATATACTCCTCCTCTTATACGATCTCGGGATTTCGATCTTCGGAGGTGGATCCGGCAAGAAGCAGACGACAACGACGGTTAGATTATCGCACGTGTTGCGTTGCAGCGCCTCCTTCACAAGCGCTCTCGAGCACCTCTCCGGATCGTTATGCTGCATCAGCCCCTTCCGCACCATTGTTACGGCACATTGGCTACTCATCACATCCCAAAGTCCATCGCACCCCATTATCAGAAACTCATCTTCTTCTGTCAGCAATATTTCTTCCAGTTCCGGCTCACAGCTTAAAGGGCTCTTCGAACCTTTAGCGCCTTTGATGTGCCAGTCTCCGAGAGCACGTGCTACCGAAAGCTGACCATTCAGGTATCCATCGTATATCACACCACCTAGTTTCTCGATTCTTAACCTTTCCGAGGTACAGTTGGGCTTGTGGTCTTTGGACAGCTCGATTGCTCGGCCTCGTTTCCCCAATACAGCTCGAGAATCCCCGGCGTTAGCGATGATCATGGTCCTGACACGAAACGATCGCAGGTAAATTAAACATGTTCATATCAATGTCGAAACCATACGATGCAGGAAGATGTTTTAAGCATTAGGTTTGTAATTTTGTTACCTTTCCAAAATGAGAGCAGTCAAAGCGGTGGTGCCAGAGGATCTATCGAGAGATTTAGCATCTGCAAGTGCATGATCAGCTTTCACATAAGCACTCTTAACTGCCCTTTTTGTGGCGGTGGCGAAATTTTTGTCTTCGATGATGAAGTTGAGGATGTTCTTTCGGGTAAAGGATGCTGCATCGAGACCACCATGTCCATCAAATACCTATGGGAAACAACGAAACCCTCAATTCTACATTCCAAGAATATGGTCTAATCTAATGCCATTATGCCAGATAAATCTGACAATGATCATGCAAGTGCTTCATAAAACGGTCGTACTGAATTTAAGTAATCTAACCTAACAGAAGTTACACACCCCATAGAATGCTCCTACGTAAGGAAAGTCTGCAGGCGATCCAAGATGTTGAAACAGATCATCGATACATGTATACTCATCTTCCATATACTGTTTTGGTCCCTTCTCGGAACAGCTTCCTGAACGGAATACAGGTAGAAATCCAGTGTCCTCTCTCGATGGTGGTGACTTCAAGCCCCCAGCACCCATAACCGATTCCTACACCGACCAATAAGAGAAGCTATTACATGAAAAAACCAGAGAACATCAAAACTAAAAACAAAGAGGCTAACCCTTTCGATTAACCAAGCAGAGCTTGTGCAATGGCGCATAGCAGGGACTGGGAGGCTTCTTGGAGGTTTGGCAGCGTTGGTTTGGCTCATATTCTCCAACGTGTCTTCGTTTTCGTCCGCCATTGAATCGAGTCCGCCTTTGAAGCTTCCACCTTCTAGTTTTGTTGCAGGAAATACATCTGTTGCTGAAGCCATTGATCTCCCTCCACAATCCACCATAACAAACAAACAAAAAAAAGAGCACTAACCCGTCATTTCAAAGGGGAAAAAAGGCACCAAAGCCCGTATTTTGTATGAGGAACGATCGAGCACTTGATCCAAGGATTTCAATTAAGATTCAATCAATCCACCCCAGACGTATGGTATCAAAAAAGCAAGGTGGAAACTTTTATTGGTTGGTGTGAGGAAATAAAAGCAGCCCCATTTGTCAAGTTGGGTACACCCTATCAATTGTGAAGAAAATATGATAAAATAAAAAAGAAGAAAAAGAAAAAGCTTAGAATGTGAAAGAGGAAGAAGGAGAAGGAAGAAATGCAAAACCAAAGCATGGCAGTAGGAAAAGGGGAAGGGAGAACCGTTTAGAGAGAGAAGAAACACGACGTCTGTTATATATTCATGGGATTCCAAGTTTTGCGCACTGTATTATAGGCAGAGATTGAAAGGAGAATTGGGCTTTTGACACGTGTTTCACTTCCTCATCGTTGACCTTTCCCTTGGTTTGGATTTTTCTTCACTTCGATCATCAATCTACGTCTCTCTCATTCACCCAAACCGTATTCAATGCTAAAGGAACTGATAGCTTTTGAAATTCTGGGAAATCAATGTCCCTTGAAAAGAATCAATAATGTCATGGCTTCATTTTTATCAAATAAATAAAAAGGAAAAGATATTTATTGTTGTACACGTCTTTGATCCAAGTTCTTTTTGGCTCATACACCAGTGGAGACCAGCTCCCTTGTCTTTTGCAGTTAAGGTTGAAGCTACTAGCTAGACAAAAATTAGGAGTGTTAAAATTGAATAATAATTTTTTTAGGACTGAAATAGTTATATATATATATATATATATATATATATATATATATATATATATATATATATATATAATTTTAATAATTAAATTTTTATTATTTATAAGATTAAAATACAATTTTAGTATTACAATAACTTATAGCGGTGATACTAACCTGCGAATATGTTAGGAGCGAAAACCTTTGGGTATTGGGCTGGCTATGGGTCACGTAATTTTAGGCTTATTGCCTGTTTGTAAGAGTAGATATAGCAATTGTTCTTATGCATAATAATTAGAATGC